TTATTGTAGAGACGAGGTCTCACCAAGTTTCCCAGGTGGGTCTTGAACCCGCAGGCTCAGGCAATCCACTCACCTCAGCCTCCCAAAGTGTTGAGATGACAGGCTGATGACAGCACTCCCAAAGTGCTGAGATGACAAGCCATCGAACCCAGCCTCCAATTCTTAACAAGTAACCGAATAGAGAACTTTTAAACTCAAAACCTTATTATTTTAAGCACTTGCCAACACTCTGATCATGTGACAAGATGAACACTCGAGTTTCCAAAGCACATTTTCCTTTGACTTTTCCCCTGCCCCTCCCCCAGAGAGTGAAACATGCTCCAGGGGTGAACATTCTGGGAGGTTTTTTTCCACTATTGACTATCTTAGCTAAATTTCAGACTCCTAAATAGAAAAAAAAATCAGATTAAAAAAAAAAACCTAACTTTCAGGACTGACATGAAAGGGAAAACACAGCTCCGCCCACTGGTTGGGGGGATGGTGTTGGCCAGGAGAAGGGGTGAGTCACAGGAGAGGGTCTTTCAGGCCACATTTGCTTCTCTCTTCATGAGAGGGTCACGTGTGTGCATGCAGCAGGGAAGTAGGGAGGTGTGTCAGGAACTGGGGGAGAAACTGTATGTTTCTGCTGCCTCCCAGCTCTGGGAATGGTGAGGAAACTACGCCACAGGCCTGGGTGAACCGAGATAGGCTTTGCAGGGGCTGATGGAATGTTCTGGAGAACTGGAGGAGCTGAGGTTATGGAGGAAGGAGACGCTGGGTGGCTGTTCCTCCAGCCTGGCCTCTTCCTCCCACGATGGCAGGTGGGAGCCTGAGACTCCCATGGCCTCCTGGCCTGTGGCGGCAGACCTGAGCCTGGTCCCCATGGTGGATGGCTTTGGGGGAGGGTAGGTGGAAGGAAGAAAGGGAAAGGAGGGGAGAGGAAGAGAGGGGAGGGAAATGGAAGGAAGAAGGAAGGGGAGGTTGATGAGGGGAGGGGATGGGGGGAAGGAGAGTAGCAAAAGGGGGACAGGGA